TGATACTCTGACACTCAACTCGAATAAATACCGTTTTTTTCCCTGCCGGATCCTTGAAGACTAGCTCGCTTATATCGCTGATCGTGTTCGCGGTCTCCTAGGTAGACTTGCCTGTTGACATGTGTGAGTGTCCAACATCATGGCCCGAGAGTAGTCATCTTTTCCAAGTCATGCGTATCAAATGAACCTACGTAATTCATTTTGCTGCAGTACATCAGTCTAGCTGGATATTTAACACGATGCTTTCGTACCACCATTCGTGACAACACCCCCGAATCCCGAACCAGCGAGCTCTTCACCCCCCTGCAGGGCAGTACGATAAATCGATCGAGACGCAGATCCGGGAAGGCTGCCAAATCACGAAGCGTCCCAGGGGCGAGGAAACACCCCTCGAGACGCACGCGCCGTCGTGTCCTGGCGTGTTTGCGCAGAAAGACCACAAAGTCATCCGCCTCGTCAAAGACGCCGGTAAAGTCAATGGATACCAGGCTCGGAAAGTGCGGGAACGAGCCTAGGTCCCACCAGTTGCGCGCGCTGCGCTCAAAACGAACTGTCAAGTGCGTCAGATTGGCCGCCGTGGCCAAAAGTCGGAGCATGGCTTTGTAGCCGAACTCTTCGCGGGTTTCCGCACACGCCGACAAACACAGTTCCAGATGGGTCAGGGTCTCGAGACTCGCGAGTGGAAGCCGAAGCTCCTCGCCCAGCGAGGGCAAGACCGTGTCCATGGTCTCGTCGGCAATGTGCAGTCTGCGAACGACGCCCGAGCTGGTCGGCAGGCTCGCAAAGTGCGCCATGGCCGGGTTTGGTACCACTAGATTCATATCAAAGTACGCGAAGCACGCAGATGGGTCAGTGGGAGACTGCTTGTTGAAACAATATCAATACTTAAGCAGAAGGTATGGAAAACAGGATCCCCAAAACACCAAACACGCCAGTCATGAAGCCCATCGCGGTGCCGCCACCACACCACCTGAGGCGTCCAATATGCAACTCGCCATGACGCATTCCCCCAGCAACCCATGTCATGCGCATAAACTAGGTGTAAATACTCTCAGTGAACTGGTTTACCTGCAGTCCTGTCTCGGCCATCTCCGCATCCCTGAGGAACTCCAGCGGGAACCACACCAGGTGGCCTTTGATCTGCGCGATCTTCTTCCGCGCATCCTCTGCCGGCATGAACAAGTCGTAGACATGGCCGGATTTGATACCCTTCGGCGGCAGGTACCGATCGTAGTCATCAAAATTTTTGACTGTCACCAATGTCAGTGTCCGCCGCTAAAACCCTAGCATAAAAGGAGCGCAACTTACTGTGATCGTCAGGGTCCGCGTGGAACACATGCCGGTAAATGTCTGTGTTCTTCGTTGCCTGCGACGTCCACATTTCCCAAAGGTCATCGCTCAGCGGATCAGCCACAATGTCCCAGCTCTCATCCCGGTCGAAAGGATCGTTGGGCGACTTCTCACTGGGCGGCTGCGCATTCTGGAGGCCTGTTCCGTCGAGACCCTGTGCGGGTAGCAGGCCCAGGTGCTCGCGCCACAGATACCGTCGCAGCGTGCCCGCATGTACGCCAGCTTCAAATGGCTGACCATTCATCGTGCTTGTGAACTGTGCCCTGTCTTCCATGACAATGCTGAGCTCACTGTCGTGAAGACCCAGCTGCGAACGGTCGTTGAGGTTGCTCGATCCGCAAATGACGATCCGATCGTCGGCGATGAGCAGTTTCGAGTGGATGTACAATTCCTCCTGCACCCAGTTCTGGATCTCGGTCTCGAGATCCTCATCGTCCCAAGGCTCGTCCAAAAGTGATCGCTCGTTGCCAGCCATGGCATGATGCGCTAAGGACGGTGCGGCTGTCAGCTTACCCTCGGGCATGGCCGCCTCAAATCGCTGCTTCGCATCGAGAGCCTTCTCCACTTCGGGTGTCGCCAAGTTGGGGTCTTGATCCTGCGCGCTGCCCATGTGCTCGTCTCGCTCTCCGTGGCCAGTCGGGTCTACGGCACCGTGGATACCTTCGGCCATGATCTCCTCGGCCTCAGCACGCTGCACCTGCTGATACGAAACGCCCGTCTTCTTCTCCTGCTCTAGAAGCGCTGGAGTCGTGACTAGACGGTCGTAGGAACGGAGGTTGAAGAAGAAGATGTACTCCCGAGGGTTCACGCCCTTAGCCTTGATCTGTCCGAAGATCGAGTGCTCGCCGCGACAGATTGATTTGTATTGGTAGTCCATGATGGCTCGGGTACCCATGGCCGCCTCGTCACGGAGGTCACCTGCGAATCCAGGAATCGCGGGAAGACAGACAATGATACGGAACTTGCGCTTCTCTTCCGCCGCTCGAAGCACAGCCTGAACAATGGCGAGGCCAATCGTGTTGTGGACCGGGGATTGGTGCTCTCCGGTGGCCGTGATGAAGAACTGGTTCTCGATGTAGACGTAATGCTCAGCCTCGAGAATCGTCTTCGAGTAGGCGTTCTGGATCGAGTGGTCCAGCAGAATACCCGAGGACCAATCGTCGCTGGATCGCACGATCTGCGCATGGACAGTACCACGATTCTCAAGGTTCTTCGTCTCGAGAGGTGTCAGAGGGTGCATGAGGTATTCACCAACTGGGTGCTTAGGCCGTTGTACTCCTACAAGATCCTCGTCCTCGCCCGTCCGTCCAGCCAGCTGGATCCAGTCGTATCGGTCGTCACGTTTGTACTTGTCGCGCTTGATGAAGTTCCACCGCAGGACAAAGTGCTCGGCAATGTCGTAAACACAAGGTCCAATGACACCCATGGAGACATCGTGCCACGGCATTCGGCCGTAGCGTGTCTTGCTCAGCTCGTTCTGCTTCCAGTCGTCAACATTCTTGAAGTCCATCACACGGTTGTTGTTGAAATCCTGGCCAGGCCACACTTCATTCTTTACACCCTCGGGATGCACATCGGCTAGCGCGTGGGTCTGCGTATCCCAGCGGCCGAAGCAGAGGTCCAACCCGCCGATGAAAGCCATGCGGTAGTCAATGACGATGAATTTCTCGTGGTGAGCCCAGTACAGAGTCATATCGGCTGCATTTTCCAACACGTTGTGGTCTGGGTGCCGCATGACCTTAATGTTGCCATAGCCTGGCGAACCCTCGGGGCACAGGCCGTGGAGTGCGTGCTTTGTGTGGGCCGAGTTGCATGTCAGGGCCGCCTCCACTTCACGATAGACGGTAACGTAGATCTTGACACCAGCCTCGGCGCGTCGTTTCAGGACCTGATCCAGCCTCCATTGCTGGTTGTCATGCGGAGGACGGCGCAGGAAGAGCTCAGGGGACAGCCACCAATCACATATGTAGATGGTCTCTTGAGCAGCCTCGAGAGCCTCCGACACGGCCCAGAAGTAGTCGCGGCCATCGACATACCACTTAATGATATTGCCGTCGCGTTCGGGAAAGAATGAATCATATCGGTGTTCGTCGCGGATCTTCTGGCGCTTGTCGTCGGTGGCTTGTTCGTGCTCCTCGTCGTGGCGGTGGTTGCGGTTGAACTGGAACAGGTAAGCCGGTCGTCATGGTGTGCTGCAAGCAAGCTCGTGGGGACAAAAACAAGCTCAACCAAGCTCTGGGGACGCGCAACGCCCAGGCTTTCAAGACGGGCAGCCGGAACTTACGAGGTTGGCGAATTTGCCAATTTGGTGCTTCTTGTGGGTGATGTGGATCTTCGCATCATGCAGGTGGGTGCCCTCGAGCTTCTCCTCGAGTTTCTGGAACGGCGCCTTGAGCTTGTCCTTAAAGCTGGTGCCACTTCCGCTTTCGACCTTCTTCTTGTTCTCGTCGTTGGTGGAAGGCATGGCTGCGTCGCTCGTAAGGTCTAGGGAGGGCCAGTGTGTGGAGTGGCCTCTCTATAGCGTCGTTGAAATCTCGTCACGAAAACATGTGTCGGGTGCCTTGGTATCTGGGTATCACGAGTCGCGCAAGGTGGAAGCGAGGACTTGAGATTTCCAAGACGGCGAACGGCGAGTGACAAGTAGACGGAAGGCTTGACTCGAAAAAGAAGAGGAAGAGACGGGCTGGGCGGAACTAAAAGAAAGCTTGAGCGAGCCAGAGGCGATGTCATCCGACGGCGTGATCAGCCAAGCGCACGAAAAACAGGGCCGGAACCCATGTGGTTTAGGGGAGATGAGGGGGTGGTAACAAGGTGGGCGTGGGTAGTTATGCTTGGTACGGATAAGACAAGACGAGAGCGGGGTGTGTCCATTTCGAGCCAATTCTCCTGAAATGGAGACAGACATGGCTTGGATATGTTCAGGCATAGTCAGAGGAAGACAGGAGCCAAGATCAATGCGGTTGGTGTCAAACGCGCGCACGCGAGAAAAGTGAGGGCAGCCAAGATGGATCTAGGCCTTGTCATGGCTCGCGATCGGCTGTCGCGGCCGCGCGTTCGCGGGGCAGGAAGATCCCAGAGAAATGGAATCCGCGCCGGCCGAAGCAGATGCGGGCAGGCAATCTGGAGGCAGCTCTGGCCAGGCTGAGCGTCGCTTGCTTTTGCTTCTCATCGAACAGCCAGTCGGGGGTTAGGTTGATCCTAGGGAATGAGGGGCAGCGATGATGCACGACAGAGATGGCAGTAGCAAGGCGGGAATTGGCTTGGGCTTTAGCTCCCGCACTGACGTCATCGGCGCAAATCCTCCATGCCGATTTGCCGACCGTTGACACAACCTTCAGCTGCTGCAAGTGCAGATACGATCACAGGCCAGCTCCTGCCCGCGTGAGGAGCGAGAACACACGTTGTGGGCAGGTGCTACGAGTGCAGTGCAAGCCTGCCTTTTTTTAGTTCATCATGTCTGCCTGCTGAGCGCGATGCCCTTTAGTTGGCAGCGGCGACAATCTCGGAACGGCTTACAACGATCGGTATTTATTGGCACATGCTGGACCTGATGCATCTTGAACAAATTGTCGTTCCTTGCTGGTTTCTCTGTGTTGTTCCTTCGAAGTGTCGGCGCGCCGCGTCTGGAACCACGAATGATGGTTTGGCCTTCAGTAAAACAACAGCGCTCTCACCTCGACACTCTGTCTGTCCTCCCTCTCCAACTCTCCCGGATCCTCGAATGCGCAATGTGGCACCCTCCTAGCCAACCCATCATCAACATTCGAGTCGAAACACTTGATCAGCAGCACGTCGTCCGGCGTCATTCCGCACTTGAAGTACCACTGGTGCCTCGCTGACGGCAGCACGGCCCACGTCTCGTTTCGAGATCCGTCCTGGTACAGCACCTGCGCCGCAACGAGGTCCTCATCAGCCACCGAATGCGCTTCCGCCACAGCCAGCGGGTCCTTGAACACCGTCCTGATGGGCCTCCACACGTTCACGATTTGATAGCGGCGCCGCAACAGCTCGTCGGCCTCGGCAGCGGGCATGTGTTTGCGGAGGACCAGCTCTGCGCCGTCTGTGGACTGGTCAACGTGGACGCGATGCAGAGGCCCTTTCTTTGCGGCGTTGCCTTCACCGAGAGAGTGCCAATTGGACGGGCCACGGCGTACTTGGTGCCCAAAAATGTGGACGCGGGTGGCCCCGGTGCTGGTCACGTCAGTGAAGTATCCCGATGACTTTCTGCATCGATACACCTACACGTCTTTGTAGAGCTGTTCCATCTCGGCGTAGTATGCACCTTTCAGTGCCGCCACATCTGTGAAGTCCTTTTCCTGGCTCTCGTGCTTGAGGTACTGAAACCCATGGCTATTGAGGCTGTAACGATCCTCGTTGCCAGAAACGTCAATAACCTGCACATCGAAAGGTACGGTGGGCCTTTCATTGGTAACCTTGTTTCTGCAGGAGGGCTGTCAGAGAGGCTCTGTTTCATGGTTCAGGGATGCATTACCCCCCAACAAGAACAGGAACCGGCGGAGATCCATCGCCAGGGTCATGGTAATAGTTCAGCTTGGTTCTGACATTATGCGGGCGAGCGGCTTCAAGAGCCATTGGTCTGGTTGGCGGCTAGGGATCACTGCGCGATAAGGATGTACTATGCGCGACCATGATGAGGATGGCGATTTGCTTCGTGCCACGATGAGGTGCTACTGCAATTGCTAGTGAGGGGCAGCTCCAGACTGTCTCGAGGTGCCCCGCCATCAGTGATGGTGTGCCCACCATTGGCCCGGAAGCCAGGGACCCTCCTCCGCGCACCGTACCCCTCATGGACCGTCCCAATAGATTTTGAACACTGTGATTAAGGCGGTTCGCCTCGATCAATAGTCGACACGCGCACTGTGTGTCCCTGACAACGCAATCGACCCCACATTGCCGCAGCTACTCCTCGACCCCTCCAACGTCTCGGTCTCGACCGTCCCTCCGAGCTTGACCGCTCCATGATTCCCTCCATTGCAACCTCATCTTGATTCTTCCATACTCGACAACATTTCCCGAACCTTCCCAAGACAAACAATCACCAGCCGCCATCATGTCTGCCATCACGATCCCCCCCGGCGGTACCATCGTCGACACCTTCAAGAAGTCCTTCGTCGACGTCCCAGTTGATGCCGACAAGAACAATGCCATTGCCACCGCCGAGTTCCTTGAGGCCACCGAGTCTCTGACCACCATCTTTGGTGCGTTTCTCTTGTTCGAATCACTCCGTCGGTCTCAGAATACCATGCTGACCCTTTCGCAGATGTTCTCGGCTCCGTCGCCTTCTCCCCCGTCAAGTCTGACATGCTCGGCAACGTCAAGGTACGTGCATCCCGTCCCAGATACGAGGCAGCCGACAATGCAGCCTCCAGCCCGCTCAAGTTAACCGTTTTGACTCTCCAGAAAATCCGCGACCGCCTCCTCGCCGCCCCCGCCGAGTCCCTCGACCTCCAGACCCTCGTCCGCGCCGAAATTGCCTCCAAGAAGCACGTCGCCGCCGAGGGTCTCCTCTGGCTGACCCGGTACGCCGCTCCCTCCCAACGGTCACTGAAAACATGGAAAGCAGCAAGGGGGGAAGGAACAAAGCTAACACGCACACAGCGGCCTCGAGTTCACCTCCATCGCCCTCTCTAAGAACGTCGCCAACCCCTCCGAAGAGCTTGCCGACTCGTTCCGCGCCGCCTACAGCAACACCCTCAAGCCCCACCACTCCTTCATCGTCAAGCCCATCTTCAGCGCCGCCATGAGCGCCACGCCCTACCGCAAGGATTTCTACGCCAAGCTCGGCTCCGACGAGGCCAAGGTCGCCTCCGACCTGCGCACCTACCTCGCCGCCCTCGAGAAGATTGTTGCCATCCTCAAGGCCTTTACCGAGAGCAAGGAGGCCAAGTGGTAGAGTGTTGAAGACGTTGCTGCGTCAAGGCGGATGTGAAATGTGGGACGTGCATAATGTAGACATGACTTGTTGAAAAGAAGCGATGTAGTTGTGGCATGCTCGTGGGAAATACGACTGTATTTTGAGCACCATGTGGAGTGTTGATAGACAGCTTTAATGACGGAGCGCCTTTTGGCTGCCTGATCAATCCTGGCCTTCTCGAAATACTCCAAACTACTGGGCAGCCAACATGCCTCCTGATGTTACCGTCACTTGGGCGTATTTCGAGTCGATAATTTTACGTTGAAGGCCTAGTCAACGCAAGCAGTGCCTGTCGTCGACGAACCGGGGAGGCAGCGACGTCTTTGCCTGAAACTTCTACTTTGCGCTGCGCACGACACCTCGCATTTGGGCACGTGCTTTGAATGAATGCGTGTCATCGTTATGCTAAAGACGTGCACTCGATCATGCCAAGTGAAGGTAGACCACCTTCCATGCAATTGAAGGCTCCGCAATAATATTTCATTGTTTGAGTTCGTCTCGACAGCTCTCCCAAGGTATTCATTCCACCACACGACAATTTCCAGCAGGGCGGTAATTTTGATAAGGGTGCCCTGTTGGCGCCGACGCTGGCCCAATGGGAGGGGATCATGTGCCGAAAAGATGCATGTATTCTGTTGCTGTATTTTGTAGCTGTATTTTGTAGCTGGCTGCCTTGATCTACAGTGCAGATGTGTCTGGGACGAAGAGACGCACTGGACACATTGGCTACCTGGCACCATTTGAGCGCCATCGACCAAGTGAAGGCCACAGCTCACAGTTTCAACTCGAAGACGAATATATTTGTAAGCGGGGAGCCGACAGAGATCCCACGGCGCACTCGTCGGCAACAATATAGATACAAGGAACTCGTGGACAACGAGAAGCGATGACTACGTATCCAAGCGATCTGGTGAAGGTGGTGGTGTTAGCGTGATATTATGGTGAGGTATCCTGCTGTCAGGAGGCATCTGTGAAGCCAGGGAACAGGGGGCATCAGAGCCTGGTCTAGGGGCTGAGATCAGGGGAGCGCTTATATAAGAGCAGCGAAAGGCCCTCGTCTCCACAGAGAGCTAGCGTTCAGGTGTGTTCTAACGCCCTACCAAGCCTACTTAACAACGGAGTGCGGAAATTGCCTGCGGATAACCTCTTCTCATCCTCTCGCTCTCACAGGTACCTAGTCAACCGAAAGTGGCTTGTTCGCGACCGCCCCTTGCTCATTTATACCAAGGGCGTCTGCCATCAGTCGGTCCAACCAGGATTGTCTTTCCGCAAGCGATCAGGCAAATATTGGACGTGCAATGGTAAAGTTCCGGTTTAGTGTATGGCCAAGGAAAAATTTGGTCGGCTCAGAACCACATAAACGAACTGCTGATCAGCCGCTCTACCCAATACTACCATGCCGTCGATCAATCTCCCGCGACGAGATCCAGAACCAGCCTTCGACCAGCTTACTTTTCACAAAGTTGCCCGCCGATATTCGACAGAACATCTTCGTGGCAGCTTTCGGCGAACGGACGCTTCACGTGGATCTCATCTTCGACGAAGCCAATCCTCCAGGACCATTGATGCAACAGAAGAAATGCAATGGACGGAAATGCGAAGCGAAGAGGCCGGTGTTATGCCCCCAAACTGATGTCGCAAGTAACAATACATGGCGCTGGGAGGGCTGCGTCTGTCACCGGAATCACCCGGACCTCCCGCCAACCGGCATGGCTCAGCGGTTCGTCTGGCGAGGCCCTTGGTTTGATGACTTTATGCCGGGTGATGGTGGATTTTGTGACTGTTATGAGAGCTTGTCGCCGGACAACCGCGAGGTCGGCATAATGGGGTTCCTCGTAAGCTGTAGACAGGCGTGAGTATCCCGAAGTTTGTAGATGATGCGCTCGCTGAATTACTCAATGCACCACAGTTACTTCGAGACAATCGATATCCTCTACGGTACCAATATCATCATGTTGAGAAGCGAGGTCTTGATGCTTCATTTACCCGAGCTACTCGTACCGCAGCGGCTGGAAAGCATTACATCTCTGGAGCTCCTCATCAAGGCACGTGAAGTCAAAGAAGGCCAGCGCGCTGTCCGCCAGGACTTCAGTCATCTTGCCGTGATACTCGAACATGTTGTTGCGTACTGCCGACACCGTCTTAGAAGCTTGTGCATCTCTCTACAGGGTTCGCCTCGAAGTCCTCCTCACACTTTTCTTGACGGCAAAGGGTCACCGCTACGCATGATCGACGAATTCTACCTCTCGATGGAGCCCCGCCTCAACATGAGGGTAGAGGTACCACAATACCTCTATTCCACCTATACGGGTCACACAGTCACCCTCAAAGCGCAGCATCCTCTCGAGCTGAGAGAGGACAAGGATGGAAAGCCTCTTTGGCAGTCTCCATGGCGATGTTTCGACAGCGTGGGAAAGAGGGAAGGGGGCCGACTGTTGGACGAGCCAGAAACGCAATGGCGCAGCGTTGGCAACTATCCGCGCCCGCCATTGCAGGTGCCAACAGAGGAAAATGCGGACAAGTGCATACCAAGTCTTGGGTACTGGATATCCGAGGGTGAGCCGGATACGACACCACGCCGGGAGCATATTTGTTTTTGACGCTGGGATGTGAGATGGGCTTTTACTTCAGCTCTTCGTCTTGATGATCACTTTTACACTCGCCTGTAGAGCTTCAGGGTGGTGCTGGTTATGCGACAGATAGTTCGAATGCATGTAAAGTAGTTGACATATAGGCAAGTGTGAGTTTCCGGAGCCACGGTTGTGGCAGCACTAGCGGCGGCAACGACACCGCTGGTGGTGCTAGTGACGGCTGTAGCAGTAATTGCTGGTTCAGTGATAGGCTACTCGCCATCAGTGCGAACAAGGACATGGTAACCAGGATTGCACCGCTTGCGGCCCGAGCCGAAACATTTCTTTGACCGGCCTAGGCTCGCTAGATACCCGGCTTAGACCAGCAATAAGCGCCCCTTGATGTACTGAATTGTGCTTTGTTGAATCCATCAAGTCGAAAAGAGCTATTAGTCTTTCCAGAATATCACAGAGAGTGCCAGGCTGGGCCGGATTTGCTGCCTGGACAGCTTTGTGCGAGATCAGTAGAATAAATACATGTTTTTTGACCTCTAGGCCAGATTGAATAACCGAGACACCAGACCTCAACATAGCAAATCGCAGTTGTATCCAAAACCGAGTGCCCCGCAAATCGATAACGATGAAGAGACCACCATCTTTGGACTTGCATAGCGTGAGGACCGTCAAGAGGTACCGTCTACAAGATGAGATTGCGATACCTACAGCAAGCGATGACGACGAAAGCTTCCGCCAACTTGAGATGCGCGCACAGATCTGGGAGCAGAACCAACGACAACGTGAGATTGCCTCCGAAGCATTCGAAAATGAAGACGGTTTTGACACAGATGCCCCTATGATCGACTACCCTGAGAGTGATCCAGAGACCGAATATGATTGTCTCTCGGACCCTGACCATGATATAGACAAGGTGGTTGAGCTTGAACAAGGTGTGCACGACATGAACATGCAATATTCGAAGGATCCGGCAAATGCAACTGAAAAAGATCGAAGCCCGCATGTTGAGCATCGCAAATACGCGAGGAAATCCAGCCCCAAAGTTCTGTTTACGCCAAAAAAGCATCCTGGCT